GCCTGCGGGGTGCTAATGATGACTCAGCCCAGCTGCCTCCCTCTCCAGTGCTCTCAGACACTCCACAGTCCATCTCGAATTCTTGACCCCACGGGGGTGAGCTTTATGCCTGCCTCTCCACATTCAGTCTAGTTGAATTCTACCCACTGTCCTTTGGCCTAATCCCTCTTGGCAGAGAAAACAAAAGAACATACAGGATCCCATGGTTTATATGTATATTTTTTATACAGTGAACTCAGCCATCCATACTAACGGGGGAGGGACCATGAGAACAGCTAATCCAAAAATTCATTCAATTTTCTTTAGAAATACATCACACGGTTGCTTCTTGGAAACCTGGTAATTAAGTTTGGCTCGAGCCAATGTTTTAATGAATTTGCATAAAAATTGGTCTGGCAACATCAGTCTGGAATTAAACATTTTTAGAGGCTAAATTTAAACTCACTTCGTAAATGGACGTTTTTAACCAATAGCAACAATAATATAGTTTTATTGTTTGTAGATTTTTAGATGCTTGTATCTTCCTAAGAACAAAGACTTTGCTTCTTTGATGCTTGTCTTAAAGATCACGGAAACTGTATTCTTTTGTTTAACTTAAAACTTGACTGCTGCTGCTCTTTAAAACTACTTTTAGCCCTGGCCCGGCGGCTCCACTGGTTGGAGCGCCGTCCCTTTTCCTAAAGGTTGTGGGTTCGATTCTCGGTCAGGGCACAGGCCTGGGCTGAGGGTTCCATTACTGGGAGGTGACTGACTGATGTTTCTCTCTCTCTAAAATCAATAATCATATCGTCAGGTGAGGTTTTAAAAAAAAATACTTTTACCATGTCTAGAAGTGCTTCAGATTAAGAGCAAAATTTAGATTAAAGTGAGTTTGACTATCTTTGTCATCCTTACATTTTTTTCCTGGGGAAAATAATACTTTCCTAATAAACATTATTTCTAAAATCCTTTATTTTTCAGTCATTACAAAAGAAAGGCAATTTCCTTATGGAAAGACTGAAAAGACATACAAGTATTGATATTATAGCTATTTACAACTAAGGGATTGCCACTGTTAATATTGTAAATGGCTATCATTCTCGTGTGTGTGTACACAGGTGTGCGTATAGCTGTATATGTGTGTATGCAAATGTATGGACCTGTTCTATGTGCACGGGCTGGTCTGTGTGTGTGCCTGCATGCACACCCACACATACGGAAATGTGTAAATGCATCCTGGAATTAAAGTGAACTTACGCTTTGACTCTTGCTATTGTAGCTTATATTTTTATAAGCTGCTTCACGCTGTCATTACAATTTCTTCAGAAATCTTATTTTAAAAGATGCATTATATTCCATGTTATGGACAAATGTTTTTATGTTTTTTTTTGGGTTTTTTTTTGCCATTAACTGTATTACAACAAACATTTTTGTGAATAAATATCTCCATAGTTTTGATGGGTCTTAATTTAAGATAAATTCCCAAAGCGTTATGCTTGGATCAAAATATGAACATTTCACCTCTTAGTAGATTTTGTCGAGATTACTGATGCGGAGGTTATGCTCACTAGTCACTCGCTAACGGTGTGTGTTCCTGTTTGGACACCCTCTTCATACTAATTCTATGTATTTTCAATCCTATTTAAACCTTCGATATTCAAAGAGTAAAGACAATGAAATCATGTTTTATCTGCATGACTTCAAGTAATAAAGAGGTAGGCTATGTCTTTATATTTATAATGACTATATTTCTTCTTTGTAAATTCTAATTGAGTGCTGGGCCCACTTTCCTCTTGGGCTGTTTTATTTTTTTCTTATGGATTTATGAGGTCTTTATTTTTTTATAACAAAATAATTAATTCTTTGTCATTTAAGCTGAGAATATTTTTCCCAGTAGTTATTCTTTAGAGTGTGTTTAGAACCTTTATTTATCATGTCAAAACTTATATATTCAGACAGCCATTTTTTTCTTTTATGACATATATTGACATACCCATGCACACATACTGCAGACGTGTGTGTCTATTTTATACAATCACAGTCTGTGTGTATATATTCATAGCTCAAAAGTAGTCTTTGTTTCAAAATGGTAAAAAATACCCTTTGGTTCTTTTAGTCTAGTATTTTTATAGTTTCATTTTTACATTTCGCCTTTACGCCTTCTCGAATTTAAGCTGGTGTAAGGAATGAGATTGGGATTCAGCTTATTTTTCCAAATGGCCAAATAGTTGTCTTAATACCATTCATCGAGTCATCTGTCTTGGAAACGTCAGCCTAAATATGTACTGAAGCTCCACATCTCCTTGGGTCTGTTTCTAAACGCTTCATCCTGTTTCATTGATCAGCCTGTCCATTCCTACAGTTGGACTACACTCTTAATCACATATTTCAAAGATTCCATGTCACTTTTAGTCTATTTATTCTGTCATTGACTGAAAATATTATATCTGGGAATGCCCCGTTGCATTTCCAATCAGATTTTATTCCTATTGTATCTTTCCATATCACCAGACACATAAAAACCCATCATTATTATATTTAATCAGGGATTTAAATACTATTGATATAAAATGACAAACTTTCTCACTTGAGACTTTTTGCTAGAAGCCTAACTGGATATATTCTAAAGTAGTTTTTCATGTTTTCTTTTGATGTTCATTTCCCAATGACATCTTTTTCTAACTTTGCACTGTTAAACCCTTCGTATTTTATTGAAACTAATTCAATCTCTTTTTAACACTTAATAAAGTAGCCTAATTACATTTACTATTGTATTCTTTGCATGTATTTCTGTCCTCTTAGTTGATATATTGTGCTTGTGTTATACTGCTACTTTTTAGAATTATTATTTGCATTATTGACTATACTCTTGTGTTTGGTATGATCTTTCTGGGAAATTTAGAAAGTAAGATCTCTTCCTTTAACTCTATTGTTATTTAATTCTATTTGCGATTATCCCCAAAATTTGTGAAATTATTCTTCAACCTACCATTGTCAGAACCCATAGCAAGTAGGGTTTTTAGTTTTGATTACCTCTGTGGAAGTCAGCCTGGTGCACAACCACCCCCATCCTGCCATAGTCTCTGTTTTATAAACTCTGCTGTTGATATTTCCTTTCTTCTTGTTTCCCCTCATTTCCTTCCTCATTACCTCTCTTTCTTCCTTCCTATTTTAATTATATAAAATGTAACCTTCAGAAAAGTACATACAAAAATTATACAAAGCTCAATTAAATAACCTAAAGCAAGTAGAAAATAGATATTTCCTTATGAGAACCATTCAGCTAAGAAAGAAGCCCAGCTCACAGTCCAATCAGTATCTCTTCCCCATCACCAGTTTAATCAATAACAACTGTCATAGTAGTAACTATATACATTTTCTGTATTGTTTTTATCACTTAAGCACATCTTTCTAAGTATTGTAATTATTTTTCCTACTTTTAAAAGTTCACGTAAATGAATTGTACAACATACATGCTTTTATGCCTGCTTCAGCTTAACAGTATGTTTGTGAGATGCGTCTATGTTTTAGTCTGTAATTGTAGTTTGTAGTTCTTGATGAGGCTTCTGCTTCCTCCTTATGTTTGTTCCTCTTCATGTAACTTGTCTTTTCCTTTTGAGATTGTTTTTGAGATATTTCTCTTTATCACTGAGATTGAGCAAGTTGATTATGATGTTCTTAGGTATAATTTTCTTCATGTCTTTTGTGCTTTGGGGTCATAGAACTTCTTGGATATGTGGGTTCATATTTCATGAAATTTCTGAAAAATTTCAGCCATTATTTCTTCAAATACTTTTTCTGTCTCTCCCTCTCATGTCTGCCTTCAGAGATTTCAATCCATGTATATTGGCTTGGGGTTGTTCCATAGCTCCTATGGCCTTTTATTTTTTCTCAGCCATTTATTTTCTCTATTTCAATTTGAATGGTTTCTACTGCTACAGCCTCAAATGCACTAATCTTTTCTTTTACAGCGTCTAATCTGCCATTATCCTTATCAAGCATGGTTTTCATCTCAGCCACTGTTTTTAACCTGTAGAAATTCAATTTGGATGTTTTTTATACCTGCCATGTCTCTAATTAACATGGACAATCCTTTTATCTTTTGGAAATTGTGGAATACAATAATAATAATTTTTTTAAATGCCTCTACATATGATTACTCTATTTGTGCCATTTCTGGATTGATTTCTATCTACTGATTTCTTGTATTGGTCAAACTTTTCTGCTTTTTTCAAGAATTGAGAAGGATCTGGGATTTTACCTCACTTGCACAGGCCTTCTGTTAGTTTATTCAGAATGAATACTTGGGTGGTATATTTTCTTAATCTTTGTATTCCTGAGAAAATATTAGTCTTGATTTCATGTATGAATAATAATTTCACTAAATATAGCAACTGTGTTATTTAGAACTCTGGAAATGTTATCGCATTTTCTTCTGGTGTTTACGTTGTGGAGGAAGAAAGTTAAGGGAAACCTGATTTGGGTGAATTAGCTTGTAACCGGGTTTTGACTTTCCTATTTGCTTTACAAGCTTTCCTTTATCCTCGATCTCCATAAATTCCATGAGCCTTTGTAGGTGTCTGTTCTCCTCTGTACTTTCATTATCTTTCCCTGTAAATATAATGTGTACTTTTGTGTTCTGCATGGAGGAACTGGTTTGCATTAGGAAAACTTCTTTTGTTATTTCCCTAGGGATTGCTTTACTTTGGCTTGGTCTGTCTCTCTTCCTGGTATTCCAAGGCTATGTAGCTCTGATCTCCTGCATCTACTTTCTGTATGTCTCACATTTATTCTCATTGTTATTATATCTTCATTTCAGTAGTTGTAAACCTAATGCCTATAGAGTTCAGGCAGTAAACATAAATAAATAAAGCCCGCCTCTCACAAATGTAATGAGTGACGAGGATTGTGGAGAGCAAATGCCTCTTCAAAATGTGGCCACTACTAATCACCTGGCATTCAGCTCTAATAAAATATTGCCAGAAAAACTAAAATCCGAGTTTTAAAAAATGTGATATTCTTCAGCAGCAAAACAACCTGAAAAAGGACCTCACAGCTTACCGTTGGGATGATCTTGGTCACACTCGGAATGTTCTGTTACTTCGCTGTCTCTTGTAATATTGTCATCTTTTGCAGAATCTGACACAACAAACAAGTAAAACCTCTAGTCAGCATTTTTAATCAGGAAAGAGAGCAGCTTCCAGCACTAATATGATAGCGTTATATTTGGGGGATATAATTTATTATTTTTTTTTAAAAATACCATGAAAATACTTAAATGTTTTCACCAATAAATAAGACTTTCTGAAAATACTATGTGAGATGCCTGCACAAAATCTGCAATTTAACGATGGTAGAGTTGGTTGGGACATCTTTTTGCAACAAAGAAGATAATGTAAGCGGGCTTTATGCATCAGTGAAAGTTTTAGGAGAATTGTGCAAAAGAATATGAAAAGAAGGCAAATAGAGAAGATTAATGGAATATCTAATTTTAATGTTCTTAAATCCAAAGATACAGAAAACCCTGAGCTCATCTTGTATGCATGTGGCCATGAAGAAACCTGGGGATGGGAGAACAGCACCTCTATAACTTACAAACAGGTTTCCTACTGAACGAGCTCATAGTGCTCAGTTGTATTTTTGTTCCCTAACAGAGCTGATTTAGGTGGAATATAAAATAAACCATCTTTCCCCTTCCGTTCCCTCTTTTCTCTATCCCTCTTCAAACTCTGAGACAGCTTTAAACAACGTCGTTTGGAATATTCTGAGAAAGTTTGTTTCTTGAACCTACCGCAAGGAACATTTGATGGACGCGTGAGAAAACTGGGTAGTTAACATGCGATTCAAACTTAATAACCAGTGAAGCAAGTATACACCCACAGTCTATGGTTTTAATTAACTGCAGATAAATCCCCCAAGGCAAATGCTTAATTATCTGCACAGCTTCTTATTTATTTCTGAGACAGACAAAGACAAAAAGTTTCAAAGCCCAAATTTGGAAGCAAAGCTAAGCATAGACACATTTTCCAAACTGTTACCACACTCACGTCAAATTGTTTTAAACCAGCTGCCATTAAAAATATGCCTTTTTAACTTTGAATCGAACACGTGGTTTAAAAAAATATCCTTTGAATACTTTTATCCCACATTAATAGTGAAAATGAACAATGATTGAAAAAGGTACTATGTGGATCAGGCTAAATTTTAGTTTTGAAAGTGTTTTAGTTTCATTTGTTTATAGAAAATGATATCATTCAACATGTAGTCTTGTGTAGGTTTTGCACATAGTGAAAATTTATTCACTTACACTCAACAATAATTCTTTATGCTTTTTAACTTACATGAACATTATGTTTAGGCACCAAACATTACAGAAGAAATGTCTTAAGAAGTGATTTAGATTGAGCTTACAAGTTTATAGTCTAATGATTTACATAAGATAGGTGAAAGTATTTGAGAAGCTAATCAATAGACTGTACCTGTTTTGTCACCAAAATCTGTGTCTTTAGCAAACTAAATGACCCTTAAATTTCAATTTCTTGGAGGAGTTGCTGCAGCATTGCTAAGGGACCTTCTGACCTTATGTGCTCTAATCTATACTATCTGTATTTTATTGAATCCAAGACACCATCAGTTGTTATTTGCACTATTATTTCGTGCAGTATTAGAAAAAAATACAACCCAATGAACTATAACACACTATCAATTCTAAGAAGGTGTTCTAATTTTAGAAATAAAATATATGAAAGACTATGCATCATAGAAATATGACATTGGAGCACATTCTGTGTGTACAGAAATACACATCTTTATGTGATGGCAAGGATTTCATTAATATCAACATGACCCATCACCAAAGCTACACGTTCATTTTGTCTCATGTGTGAGCCTTTCTCCAAAAATGTTTCCACAGGCACACACATGCTGTGTGTAGAGCACTAAAGCAGGGTAGCAAGTGTAAGCTCATGACGGAATCCACAGGTAACCAGGTGGCTATGGAAGACTGTTACCACTATAGTTCCCCTATGGAAAGGGCTATTTGAGCCCTGGCCAGTTTGGCTCAGTGGTTAGAGCATCGGCCTGCAGACCAAAGGGTCCCAGGTTTGGTTCCAGCCAAGGGCAAGTACCTCGCTTGCAGGTTCGCCCCGGCTGGGGCGTGATGGGAGGCAGCCACTTGATGTGCCTCTTTCACATTGATGTTTCTCTCTCTCTCTCTCTCTCTCTCTCTCTCCCCCCCTTCCACTCTCTGGGGAAAAAAAGTTAAAAGGGCTATTTGAATTTCCAGTCTCATAAACTTTAGCTAAATTTAGATCTGAAATGTTTTAAATCAGGGGTCCTATTAAATTTCACTTGCTTGCAGGTTTGAAAAGACAGTGGGACATTTTTGCTTAGGTGATTAAAGCTGCACTGTACATGTATACAAAATTATTATTTGTAATGAAAAAGAATGAAAATATTTCCTGTATATATGGTCATTGAAAGAGCTTATGATCTCTACGTAAGTTCTATTAATGACCATGAAATGTAGTTGTATATACTGAATTCTTGCAACACCTTAGATTCACATTATTTTTTCTTTTTCTTTTTTTAATTGAATTTATTGGTGAATAAAATTATATAGGCTTTAGATGTATAATTCTATGATATATTATCAGTATATTGTACTGGGTGTCTACCCCCCTAAATCGAGTCTCTTTCCATAACCATTTATCCCCCCTTTTCCCTCTCTTACCTTCCCCCCTCTCTTTCCCTCTGGCAATTACCATGTTGTTGTCTGAGTCTATGAGGGTTTTTTTTTAATTAGTCACGTCCACATTTTATTTAATTCTAAAAATTATCATGTGGCAATGTTTAAAAAAGTAAGAGTTATCACCTAATTCTGAGATTCAGTCTAAGTTATTTTAATAGCAGAGAACTGGAATGAAATTTATATGTAGATTCTGACTTTCAAAATATTTAAGGTCAATATCCTATTAGATAATTTGTTTTTGAATGCAAATATTAAGTCAAATAGTCAAGCCAAAATTCTAAAGTTAGGTAATCTTTTATGACGAACAAAAATAAAAAATAAATATTTTCCTAGATATAAAAAAAACTCCTCATTTAGAAAGTAGAAAAAAGTTTAAAAGAAAATTTAAACTAGATTAAAATAACAAAAATAACATAAAACAGAAATTCCATAAAGTAGGTTTTCTTTAATGCATTCAACTACACGTCTACACAAAATAGCACATGTATAGATTTAAGCTCTGAATACTGAAACTATTGAATTTTTAATAAACATATCTAAACTATAAATAAAAATAAATGCTACTTCAAAAATGTCCCCTTAGGACAAAATTTCTTAACCTTAAGGGATCTCTGAATGTACTCCAGGGGTCACAAACCCTTTTGAAATGATACAAAAATGAGAGTATCTATTCACTCACATGTTCATTTTCTGGGAGGAAATAGCTTCCATCATATTCTATAGGGACCCATGACTCCAACAAAGTTAAAAATAACTATGGACATTCATACCCTAATGCCAGTGACACTGCCACCTTAGAGAAGATGTTTAGGACTATTATTGCAGAATTAGCTATAGAACTTGATACCCAATCCATTAATTCATCAATGATGGCAATTCTTGAATATTTAAGGTAGATTTGGCTTGAAGAAATAGCCAAGCCCAGCTGGGGTAGCTCAGCAGTTGAGCATCGACCTAGGATCCAGGAGATTGTGGTTCGATTCCCAGTCAGGGCACATGCCCGGGTTGCGGGCTTGATTCCCAGTAGGGGCCGTGCAGGAGGCAGCCCATCAATGACTCTCTCATCATTGATGTTTCTATCTCTCTCTCCCCTCTCCTTTCCTCTCTCTCTGAAATCAATAAAAATATATTTTTTAAAAGAAGAAATAGCCAAAAAACATAGAGATGTGTTTAATAAATGAGGAAGGCAATCCAATTCACAAGAAACACTTTGCGTAAAAATTAGAGGTAACTATAAAGTAAAAAACTGTATGGGTGATTAACTGTCTTTGAAGACATTTTCAAGCCAGGAGGTGTACCAAAGCCCCCGAGTAAGAGAGGTAGGCCCTGATGAGTCGTGGCAGGAGGTCATTTTGGTGCAAAAGTTCTAGCGGCTGTGAACAGAATAGTAAATGCTATAGAAAACACCTGCAATCAAATATCCTCTCTGTACCACACAAACATCCACGCACATGCACCTCAGCTTGACGTAGAAGTTGCACAGAAACACAGTCACCAGGATTTCCTTTGATTCTTGTAAAATGATGTGAAAACACCAAGCAGAACATTTATCCTGGCCTGCCCATTGAATCACTGGATTATTACAAAAGTAGTTAGAATAAAGGAGCTTTCCTTTATCTGAAAAGCTTGCTTATCCACAATAAACTAGTCTCCACAGCCATTCTGCTCTCACTGAACCTCTGCAATGGCCGTTCCCCTATATAGGAAAAGTATGTCCTGTAGGGTGTGCCCAGAGTCTTTAGCTGGCCTTGATCCGAACTGTGCTTGGTCCCCTGAAGCTGGTATAAAAGGCTAAACTATATTCACCTGGAACGTAACTGGGTCCACAGGACAGGCCGTTGCCTTGAGCGTCGGGAGGCCCGATGAGTTACGGGCAGTCATTTGTCTTCATTACGCTCTCATTAACCCCCATTAGAAGGCGGCCGATCGCTCCCGGAGTTATTGAACTCAGGCACTAACGGTTTTGGACACTGTGCTGGGAAAGCTACCATCACGCACCACTAACTTTGTTTCTGTTAAAAAACATAGTTCACATTCCAAACGGTAAATCTGTGCAAACCAGTTCCTTCTTACATTGGAGGTGACACCCATATGTAGGCTGTTACTGAAAATACGAGCAAATAGGAAAATCAGTCATGTGGGGATGGACACTGGCTCGGGCTGGGATTCTGCATTTACAATGGCCAGCTTTGTAAGGCTAGGAAAACCCATGCCCCTTACATAATCTCAGCTTCTGCACCTAGGAACCGAGGGTGGTGAGCCAGACGATCGCTCCCAAATACCTTACGACGCTGCTAACCCGCTGGTCTGTTCAAATTATCTTGGTTCGGAACAACACTGCCCTGTAAACCTTCCCGGGCTTCCCTCACTGTCCGCCTACCCCAGTTGG